AAATGACCATTTGGCATGGTACAAATTACCATCCTAATCTGTACCACGACAAAAGGTGATCTATATGTAACACAACCAAAGTTTTTCTATATACGATGACAAAAGGTCGTATATATGTACGACGACAAATGGTCATATATGCACCATGACAGAAGGTAATCTATGTACCACGCCAGTAATTATCAGTTGGTTGCCAAAAGTTTTCTGTATCGGTAATAGTGAACTACACAAAAACCGAGGATGACAAAAGCATTAGTTGTATACAAAAGTAAAATTTCTTCTTCAAAAAAAATTATCCACAAGTCCACGCAACAAAGCCATCTACAAAATAATAATAATAATAATAAATTCGATCAATTTGCAAACATTTTTTTTTAATTAAAACAAAATGGAAGCACAACCAAACAGGGTATTTGTTTCTCCGGAAATTGGCCCAGTGACAAGTACTTCGTTTCATTTTTTTACTGCAGAAATAGAGGCTGGAAAAGTGCTTCATATTGCAGAAGAGATTACACTTGCAAGTCGAAATTTCATTACATTTGCACAGTAGAAAATGGGACTTGAGAGAGAGAGAGAGAGAGAGAGAGAGAGAGAGAGAGAGAGAGAGATCTCAGTAGGGGTGTTGTCCCCAACCTTTTCTTTCGGTCTGTTGTTGGCCATCTATTCTTCTTTCGTTCTCACAGACGACGCCAAATTGTGTGGGTGATTTTCTGAGCATACTGCCAAACAGGTACCCAGCTGGAGAGCATTGGCAGAATAGATTAAGCCCGAACGACCTGTAACAGAAAGAGAAAATTCCGGCGGTGGCTCGTCTACTTGGAGGCACTCCGACGATCAAGTCAGCACTCAATATCTCTCAAAGATAACAAATAGTGCTTAACTTACTAGACAGAATATCAAAAGCATACCTTAGACCCATGGGGGTGCCTTCCTTTTATAGTCAACACAATCTTAGTCCCAATAGGAGCCTAGCTCTAATGGATTTAGGATTACTGCTAATCTTAGACTCCCAGTAGGATTAGGATAAACTCTCTAAGAGTCTTATCTTTACCCAAACTGAAGTCTTCTCCCATTCTAGGACTCTTGTCCCTTATCCCTTATCCCAAATTCCAGTATTCTCGCAGATAACCTTGGCCTAGCCAAGATGATCTCGGCGCCATGATCAGGACACGTGGCACCTTGGCTGGCACTTCGGTGACACCTCGGCCACATGTTGTCATTCAAAAAATATGTCCTCACAGCTACTAATTGTTTAGTCGCCAAAAACACGATCTTATGTTTTATCACAAAATTATAATTTCTCCACAATCTATCTATATTCCATGCAACCTGTAATATGTATATAAACGAATACAAATACTATATATCAATCATTTCACAATCTGCATACATATACAAAAAATGAATAACTTTAAATGTCAAAGTCCATGCAAATCAACTATTGTCCAAACTAAAATAATAATTCCATACAAAATATAGAATCATACAAAAATCAAAGCCCTTCGTATACAAAAACATATATTTACTACCATGCAAAATGACCATTTGGCATGGTACAAATTACCATCGTAATCTGTACCACGACAAAAGGTGATCTATATGTAACACAACCAAAGTTTTTCTATATACCATGACAAAAGGTCGTATATATGTACGACGACAAATGGTCATATATGCACCATGACAGAAGGTAATCTATGTACCATGCTAGTAATTATCAGTTGGTTGCCAAAAGTTTTCTGTATCGGTAATAGTGAACTACACAAAAATCAAGGATGACAAAAGCATTAGTTGTATACAAAAGTAAAATTTCTTCTTCAAAATAAATTATCCACAAGTCCATGCAACAAAGCCAAAAAAAAAAAGCATTTGGTTACAAAATATCAATTCAGTCAGCCATAGGGAAAAGGTTCTAACATGCGTTTAAGGTAAAACAATCGACAAATGTCTTCTTGAACATAAAAGCATATATATATGTATCATGAAATATTTATTCCAACCAACGGCGCAAACAATCTATTATGTTATTTCTTCATCCTATTTTATACAAAGGCAATTATTAAAATATGTGGATGTTATTTTCATAAAGTTGTCACTCTTTAAACTAAGTGTTAGGCGTTTTTCAAATAAGTTAAGGCATTTTCAGCTCTAACTCCTAACCTACGGGTCTTAATTACATTCCATTTGTTGTCACAGGTCCTATTTGTCACGGGGAAGCTATCCGTGACAGCCATACTAAGGTTCGGGGGCTGTTTTGAATATTCAGCCTCGGAATGCCATTTTTTGACTAAGTTTAAGGCGTTTTCGGCTCTAACTACCAACCTGCGAGTCCGAATTACATTACGTCTGGTGTCACAAGTCCTATTTGTCATAGGGAAGCTGTCCGTGAGAGCCACATGGTGGTTTGGGGGCAATTTTGAACTTTCTCCCCCGAAATGTCCTTTTTTGACTAAGTTTAAGGCATTTTTGCTCTAACTCCCAACCTCCAGGTCCGAATTATATTCCGGCTGTTGTCACAAGTCCTAATTGTCACAGGGAAGCTGTCTGTGACAGCCATACGATGCTAAGGGGGCTATTTTGAATTTTCACCGCTGGAATGCCCTCTTTCGACTAAGTTTAAGGCGTTTTCTGCTCTAACTCCCAACCCACGGGTCCGAAATACATTCCATATGTTGTCACAGGGCCTAATTGTCATGGGGAAGCTGTCCATGACAGCCATATGGTGGCTTGGGGGCTGTTTTGAATTTTTGCCTCCGGAACGCCCTATTTCGACTAAGTTGAAGGCATATTCGGCTCTAACTCCCAACCTACGGGTCTAAATTACACTACATCTGTTGTAACAAGTCCTATTTGTCATGGGAAAGCTGTCCGTGAGAGCCACATGGTGGTTCGGGGGCTGTTTCGAATTTTCGCTGCCAGAACGCCTTATTTCGACTAAGTTTAAGGCATATTCAGCTCTAACTCCCAACCTACGGATCTGAATTACATTACGTCTGTTGTAACAAGTCCTATTTGTCATGGAAAAGCTGTCCGTGAGAGCCACATGGTGGTTCGAGGACTGTTTCGAATCGTCGCCCTTGGAACACCCTTTTTCGACTAAGTTTAAGGCGTTTTTGGCTCAAACTCCCAACTTACAGGTCCGAATTATATTCTGTCTATTGTCACAGGTCCTATTTCTCATGGGGAAGCTGTCTATGACAACCACACGGTGGTTCGGAGGCTGTTTTGAATTTTCGCCCCCGGAACGCCCTTTTTTGATTAAGTTTAAGGCGTTTTCTGCTCTAACTCCCAACCTATGGGTCCGAATTACATTCCGTCTGTTGTCACAAGTCCTATTTGTCACGGGGATGATGTCCATGAGAGTCACACGGTGGTTCGGGGGCTGTTTTGAAATTTTGCCCCTGTAACGCCCTTTTTCGACTACGTTTAACGCGTTTTTGGCACTAACTCCCAAACTACAGGTCCGAATTACATTCCGTCTGTTGTCACAAGTCCTATTTGTCATAGGGAATCTGTCCGTGAGAGTCATACGGTGGTTCAGTGGCTGTTTTGAATTTTCACCCCTAGAATGCCCTTTATCGACTAAGTTTAAGGCTTATTCGGCTTTAACTGCCAACCTATGGGTCCGAATTACATTACGTCTGTTGTCACAAGTCCTATTTGTCATGGAAAAGTTGTCCGTGAGAGCCACATGGTGGTTCGGAGGCTGTTTTGAATTTTCGTCCTTGGAACGCCCTTTTTCGACTAAGTTTAAGGTGTATTCGGCTCTAACTCCCAAACTACGGGTCGGAATTACATTCCGTCTATTGTCACAAATCCTATTTGTCACGGGGAAGCTGTCCGTGAGAGTCACACGGTGGTTCGGGGGCTTATTTGAATTTTCACCCCAGAACGCCTTTTTCCGACTAAGTTTAAGGTGTTTTCGGCTCTAACTCCCAACGTACGGGTCTGAATTACATTCCGTCTGCTGTCATAGGTCCTAATTGTCATGCGGAAGCTGTCTGTGACATCCATACGGTGGTAAGGGGGTTGTTTTGAATTTTCGCTGCTGGAATGCCATTTTTCGACTAAATTTAAGGCGTTTTCAGCTCTAACACCCAACCTACAAGTCCGAAATACATTCGGTCCATTGTCACAGGTCCTAATTGTCATGGGGAAATTGCTCGTGACAACCACATGGTGGTTCGGGTGCATTTTTGAATGTTCGCCTCCGAAATGCCCTTTTTCAACTAAGTTTAAAGCGTATTCGGCTCTAACTCCCAACCTACGGGTCCGAATTACATTACGTCTAGTGTCACAAGTCCTATTTGTCATGGGGAAGCTGTCCGTGAGAACCACATGGTGGTTTAGGGGCTGTTTTGAATTTTCACCCCCGAAGCGGCTTTCTTCAACTAAGTTTCAGGCGTTTTCGGCTCTAACTCCCAACTTGCGGGTCCGAATTATATTCCGTCTATTGTCACAGGTCCTAATTGTCATGGGGTAGCTGTCCGTGACAACCATACGGTGGTTCGAGTACTGCTTTGAATTTTTGCCCTTGGAACGCCCTTTTTCGGCTAAGTTTAAGGCGTTTTCTGCTCTAACTCCCAACCTACAGGTCCGAATTACATTCCGTCTGTTGTCATAAGTCCTATTTGTCACAAGGAAGCTATCCGTGAGAGTCACATAGTGGTTCAGGGGCTGTTTAGAATTTTCACCCCCAGAACACCTTTTTTCGACTAAATTTATGGCATATTCGGCTCTAACTGCCAAACTACCGGTCTGAATTGCATTTCACCTGTTGTCACAAATCCTATTTGTCACGGGGAAGCTGTTCGTAAGAGCCACATGCTGGTTTAGGGGCTGTTTTGAATTTTCACCCCCAGAACGCCATTTTTTGACTAAGTTTTAGGCGTATTCGGCTCTAACTCCCAACCTACAAGTCCAAATTACATTATGTCTATTGTCACAAGTCCTATTTGTATGGGGAAGCTATCCATGAGAGCCACACGGTGGTTCGAGGGCTGTTTTGGATTTTCGCCCCTAGAACGCCCTTTTTCAACTATGTTTAAGGTGTTTTCAGCTCTAACTCCCAACATACAGGTCCAAATTACATTCCGTCTATTGTCACAGATCCTAATTGTGATAGGGAAGTTGTTCATGATAGCCATACGGTGGTGAGGGGACTGTTTTGAATTTTCACCTCGGGAACGCCTTTTTTCGACTAAGTTTAAGGCGTTTTCTACTCTAACTCCCAACCTATGGGTCCGAATTACATTCTGTCTGTTGTCACAAGTCCTATTTGTCACAGGAAAGCTTTTCGTGAGAGTCACACAGTGGTTCGGGGGCTGTTTTGAATTTTTGCTCCAGAATGCCTTTTTTTGACTATGTTTAAGGCGTTTTCGGCTCTAACTCCCAACCTACGGGTCTAAATTGCATTCCGTCTGTTGTCACAGGTCCTAATTGTCATGGGAAAGCTATCTGTGACAGCCATACAGTGGCGCGGGGGCTGTTTTGAATTTTCACCCCCAGAACGTCTTTTTTCGACTAAGTTTAAGGCGTTTTCTGCTCTAACTCCCAACCTACGAGTCTTAATTACATTTCGTCTATTGTCACAAGTCCTATTTATCATGGGGAAGCTGTCCATGAGAGTCACGATAGTTCGGAGGCTATTTTGAATTTTTGCCCCTGAAACACTTTTTTTCAATTAAGTTTAAAGCGTTTTCGGCTCTAACTCCCAACCTACTGGTCCAAATTACATTCCGTTTGTTGTCATAGGTCCTAATTGTCATGGAGAAGCTATCTGTGATAGCCATACGGTGGTGAGGGAGCTGTTTTGAATTTTCACTCCTGGAACGCCATTTGTCGACTAAGTTTAAGGCGTATTCGGCTCTTACTCCCAACTTACGGATCTGAATTACATTACGTATGTTGTCACAAGTCTATTTCTGAAGATGTGCTAATTAAGATGTTTTGTCAAGGTCCTATGTGTTTTTTTTTTAAGTTTATCATTTAATGAAATTCCATTATTGCTATAACATAGGAAATTTGCATCATTAAATATTCTTGCCGCTCCTCTTGGAATTGTTTTTACATAATTAATTAATTAGTTAATGAATTAATGTGTTATTTCTTTTCTCCTCTTATTTGTATAATGTCAAAATAATTCCAAGTGGTCCAAAACAATAATGTCAATATGTGAAATTTTTTTGTAGAACTTTTAGTATCATATGAATAAAATTCTTCTTACCAAATACGACGATGACCGTCTGAACCCTGCAACAGAGTTGTGAGTTGTAAAACCACGTCGTTCATATGATTAAGTTGTTCTTGTTGCACCTCCCTTGTTTTTTTTCTTTCTTCTACTTCTTTCAAATGTTTTTTCTAACACGATGGGACAGTGACGACAACTTTTTCTAACATGCATTTTCTTTCTATACAGATGCATACACTAATGAGATAAAATTAAAAATATTGGTCAAGGCATTCTTTCAACTTTTGAAAAGTAACAAGTTTTTAAACAAATGAGCCCATACCGTTTGCAAAACACTTGTCTGCACTCTCTACCAATGTGTTTGTTGTCATCTGCAATTACACCACCAATACTCATCAATGGATATACATACAAATACAAGGATATTCGTTATGAAGAAAAGTTACAAATTTTTGAACTGCAATTATTACTTGCAAATGTCAGATATGCATATATCTTGTCTTCCAAAATGACATTCATTGGGCTTGCTCAAATTTAACCATCCTTTTCTTTTCTTTTCTTTTGTTTGTAATGACTTCCCAACATTTACTCTAAGTGAATGTAAACACATTAAATGCTGTATTGAGCAAGATTCTCATGAAGAATACTGGCTACACATGGAAAACAAGGATTCAAGTGCTTACAACAATGATGGGCATCCTGTTTTTAGATGAGTTAAATTTTTGATCATTTGGAGGCACAAATTGCTTAATTCCTGCTTTCATTGCAACATCCCAATTACCAGTTTCCTCAAAAGAACAAATTTATCTTGTGGCTTGAAGGCCATCCATCACTAGCATGCATACATCCTACACATGGTTACAGCTTCAATGTATTAGGATAAGACTACAAATCTATGTGACAATGTTCAGAAACATTTAAATGAGTTGCAAGGTTTGTTTATACAACTAATCCAAGACAAACTCCTCCAAAAAGTTTTGTGAACATGTAAGTATATTAAGGAAGTTGTGGGATGGACATCTACATTGAACTATTGGCTTTGATGGGCAAAAAACTACTAAAATTTTAGAGATGTACAAAGGGATAAAAAGTAAAGGAGAAAACAACTATAGGCTTTGATAATGAAGAAGAGGAGAAATAAGGCAATCAAAATGATGGCACAACCAGTGGCAAACCATTTCACCTAGCAATGTAACAACCATTGGGATAAGCTCAAACACTAACCTCATCTTAAATTGAAGTCTGAAAAAGAAAAGGATATGCCTAACAAGTGATTAAAATGGTAACTAAAATAATAACCATAATAGAAAACATTTTTTAATTCTAGGAAAATTACCATCAGAACGAGATCTAAGTACAGGACTAAACTGCACGTACAGCTTCAACTCCATTATTCACAACATCTATGGTATGGCCCCACTGCTTTGTCATTGACCGTGTCACCATCACATTAATCTTGTTATCTTCCACAAGAAGGATCTTAGGTTTCAACATCGATTTGGGAATTTCTGGACTGTTGCTAGAACTGCACTAGGTGCTTCTATTAGTTCTCTCCCACATCTCACTTGCTTCTTATAGTGATCCCGGGTTTACCCTTGTTGTACGGTGATCCGGACATGTGTCCGTGGATGTTGGTAGTTGAACATTATCTTGTTTACATCCTTTCTTACTTTGTATTTGAGTTATAGGATGTGTTGGGCAGGTTTGTTACAGGTTGGTTGAGTTTAGAAACCAAAACTAGTTGCCCAGATTTTGGCCTGTCCGCTCGAGCGGGGGTTTTGGCGCTCGAGCGGGGAATACACCCATCCAGTATTTCCTGTGCAGTGTCGGATGCTCGAGCGGGGGATTGGTCGCTCGAGCGGGAGGTTGTGACTGACGCTCGAGCGGGGCTTCGAGCGCTCGAGCGGGGCTTCGAGCGCTCGAGCGAGGACCTGTTGTGTCGAGATGCTGGGAGAGTGCATCCGGCGCTCGAGCTGGAGTTTGGTCGCTCGAGCGGGAGTCTGTGAGTGACGCTCGAGCGGGGAGTTTGACGCTCGAGCGAGGCGACTGGGTTTAAGTTCCGAGTTTTGACTTTTCAAATCACTTTTTCACTTTCTCTTTTCTCTCCTACTTTTCCAAAAACTCCATTGTTGAGCCTCTCACTCTAGAACTCTACCTTCTCTCTAGGTTTTGATCTAGTAGGAGTGATTTGCTCATCTTTGGCCTTTACAAAAAGGTTGTTGATCGTCGAGGGCTTTATTTTAATCTGAAAATTTCGGATTTTGGAACACGTTGGGTTTTATCATCTTCTCCTTTGGGGCTCCGGATTTGAGGTAGGGATATCCTACTCCTCTCTATGGATTTTGTCTTTAAATTTTAGTATTTTGAGATGATGGGGTTGATTTGGTAATTTTGTGAAAGTTTGGGCTTTTGTGTAATTTTACAAAAGTTGGGGTTTTATTTATAATAAACCTAGATGCATGTTTGGCATAGAGTAATGGAATAAATGTTGAATCATGGATGAAAATGGGACCCTAAGGGTTGTAATGTAAATTATGGAAAATGACCTAATTACATTGTTTGATTACTAGGAATGAGGAAATGAAATGGAATTGTTGAGATTGGGAATGCATGGGGTTAAAGGGTGTAGTTGAATTATTTATCACTCACCGAATTGAAATGTTGATTGAATATCCATTTGTGCATTTATTTTCTGTTTAGAAATAACTGCTTTGGGCTATCGGTGGAGGATAGTCGTGATTGTTGTAGACAATGCATGATGATTAGGCAAACGAAAACTAATCAATGGAATGTGTCATGGAATTTGACGATGAGCACGAGGAACACTTGGGAGTGGTGCTTGAGTTACTTAGAGCCCATAAGCTGTATGCCAAGTTTGGGAAGTGTGAGTTCTGGCTGAGAGAAGTCAAATTCTTAGGCCATGTAGTATCCGGTGAAGGAGTGTCTGTTGATAC